TAATTGCTTAGAAGTATCATCATTTTTGTACTCTCTTGATATTTTGTAAAGGAAAAAGGAAGGGGAAACCAATAAATTTAGTTTTCACATGTTAAGAAGTATCTAGGAAGAAGAATTCTGATGAACTAAACAGATTTTCTCTTCTATCTTCACTATCAAAATCTCAAAAGTCCCTGTCTTAGCCTTATTAATTCTTTTCTTGTTGCTGTGACCAGATATCCAATAAGAAGCAATTTGAGGGGATAAGGGCTTAATCGATGTAACAGTTCAAGGAGTTACAGTCCTTTATGTTGGGGAAATCATGATGGTGACAAAAGAATGAAGTGACTAGTCAAAACTGTGGTGTAGAGAGAGTATATAGAAAATAGGACCAGGCTCAATCCTCAGGGCTCATTCCTTTAACTAACGTACTCCAGGAAGACTCAATCTCCTAAAGGTTCTATAACCTTCCAAAACAGCACTACCATTTGGGAGCCAAGAGTTCCACTGCATGAGCCTTTAGGGCTTTTCACATTCAAGGCACAACAGTAACCATAAGGATGGATACATAAATAAGTAGATACTGTATCCACCAACTTTTCTATTTGATCTAGTTTTAAGATTTGCCTCTAGTAAGCCAAGAATAATCAAAGTCTAGAAGTTTTTGGATGAAATGAGTGAACTTCAGTCTAATTCAGAACATTAAAATAAAAGTTCTTTGAGCAATGATAGCTTCATGATTCCAGTAACATTCAGAACCAGAGGAGACTCAGAGAGCTCTGCTCTCAAACATGACCAATAAACACAACTAGACAAAGAACAGAGTTAAAGTACTGAAATAACTGAGTTGGTTGCACTCAGGTATTTGCCTTACTTGGTTGTGGCCTGACCAATCAGCAGCTTCTGACTGGCTGAAGCTCAGCTGCTTGAGTCTGCATGAAACCTATCTGTTTAAACACTATATTCTACATTGGGTTTGTGACTTATTTTTAAGGTGAAGCTTACTATGCAGGGACTTGAGAATCAGCAACCAGGTCTACAGTACTACTTCAGTTCAAAGAATTGTCACCATAAACAAGGCAAAACTAATAGTTGGTTAACATGTTTTTATCAGTCTATACATGTTTTATAGGTATTGGTTATTACTATTATGGTGTGTGGGTGTATTAGTTACTTTTCTGTTGCTGTGATAGAAACACTGACCAAAGCAAATTATAGAAGGAAGGGTTCATTTGAGCTCACGGGTCCAAGGGGCAAGAGTCCATCGTGGCAGGGAGGCATGGTGACAGAGGTGGCTGGAGTAGGAGTGGAAGCTAAGCTCTATATCTTCAAGCGGGCACAAGAAGCAAAAGAGTGACTGGAGATCTGGAAAGGCTTAAGGACTCTCTAAGCCTGCCCCCTGTGATGTGCTTCCTCCAGGATATCCACACCTTCTAAGACCTCCCAAAACAGTGCCAGCAATTGGGGACAAATGTCCAAATACTTGGAACCTATGGGTGCATTTTCTTTCAAACCACCACAGTGGGGTTCCCCAAGACTAAACTCAGTTTCAGTGTCTTGTTAGAGGGACTTGTAGAACTTAGAAAAGGTTTTATATTCATGCTATATTTTATTATATGGAAAGTTTCAGATTAAAATCACCAAAGACAAAAAAAATACATAGTTAATAGTCCAGGAGAGAAGAAGCACAAACTTCAGCTATCTACTCTCAGTGGAAGCAAAATGCCTAATTCTCGCAGCAACATAGTGTGACAAGGGTCAAGTACTGCTAACTAAGGATGCTCACCCAAATCGTGGGCCCAGGGTCCTATTAAGGGGGTAGGTTGTCTGTAAATATGGAATGTGCATATGAAAGATCTTTACTCAGTCTATAGTATCCATGGAAACTCAGCTGTGAATCTTCCAGCTGAGCAAGATGAGATATTAACCAGTACTAGCATAAAATAGCTCACAGGACCTAGGCCCTGAGCATATGAAGGCACTCTTTCAGACAGGATATTCAAAGGCCTTATAAATTATCTCCCTGTAATATAACATTCATTGTGATATGGTTTGAGCCTTCCAGACCTGTTGAGTTAACCGTTTACTTTACCATATAGTAATGAAAGTTTTCTGTGTCTCTCTGTCTCACACGTCGTAGACATTTTTGCCTGCTACTGTCAACTCAAGTTCCTCGGTTATATTGTATGAATTTGTCTCCTACTTAGCACCCATTAATGATTTACCAGGTCCTAAGAGAAAAAGCCCTATCTTTTAGGATAACCTCAAATATCCATATTGAAGGACAGGGTCCTGGATTACAAAAACCAAATGTGATTTTTAGGAAATAGGAAGTAGTCAATATATTTACATTCAAAGAAGTGACACAAGAAACTTCCATTTCTGTATCAAGTCCTATTTCCACTATCTTTGCTAGCATAGGCTTCTTTCTATCTCTACCAACATTGCATTTTGAAGAACATGCTTCAAGGTTTATGTGAAATTTTACTCCTACCATAAAGCCTTATGAAACCTTCACAGAAAGAATTCTGGCTTCCTTCTGTGTATTCTCATAATTTAATTCACTTCTTAGATGCACTTACAATAATCTACCTTGCATTAAAGTTGATTTTAAGTGTATCTTTTTATCTATGTAGACATTGGCTTTTATGAACAGAAACCTTGACTATTCCCTCATCTTTACAGTACCTAGACATCCGATCCTAATGTGTTGCTTCAGGTTATTAGATCAAATTGAATTTGCAACTATTTATTCATCACTTTTTTCAAGGTCACATTACCAAGCTAAAGGAGAGCTAGGAAATGTAACTAATATCTAAATTTTTCTACTTGTTGCCCTCAGTCCAAATCTCAGAAAAAATGGTATTATTTGCTTTCAAATTAGAGTAAATGAAAAGTAAATTAGACCAAGCATAGAAGAACAGAGTGTTCAGAGCCACTGTACAGTGTCCTCAGCGGGGTAAGCTAAATTATAATTGTAGATATGTTTCATCTTTCTTTCCTGTGTTCTCTTTTGAAGCTGCTCTCCAGTGCTTTGGGGGTTGATATGTCCCTCCAGTTCTGAGAGAAGTTTAATTATGTTTGTTGACATCTATCATCTCAAACTATTTGAAATCTCCCCAAAAATTAAAACTGCTGCGTATGTTTGTAATCATGCTTCAATTTCTGTATGTATCAGGATGCTAAAATTTAAGAATGGAATGGGACTGTGGTGCTGTCCCCTTGTTAAGGCCACCAGCAATGAAGAAATAGTTGGAGTGGTGAGTGGGTCATAGAAAGAAAGAGTCAAAAAGCAAATTTGAAGTATGCTCTCAGATCTAAGAAAAGCCTCTTAGCTTATTCTTACAGATTCCTCTTCATTTTTATGATGCTTTTCTGTCTTCTCTTTTCCTTACATGTTTTCATATTTTACCACTTCTATTTTCTTCCCAATCTTGGCTTATGAAACTGTATTTGTGTATGTATCTGAATATGTGTTTTGTGTGTACGCATGTGTCTATACAGAAGGTTATGGACCTGTGTATATGTCCACGTGGAGCCAGAGGTCAATGTTGGATGTCATCCTCTATGACTCTTCACCTTCATACTTTTGAGATATGGTCTCTGAGTAAACATGGAGCTTGCCATTTCAGCTATACTGGCTGCTTAGGAAGCCCAGGGATCCTCCTGACTCTGTCTAGTGCTAGGATTACAGGCTCATACTACATAACGAGCTTCTTGTTGTTTTTAACTTAGGTCCTTATGCTTATGTGGTAAGCACTTTACCAACTGAATCATTTCCCCAGCCTATCAAGTATATTTTTAGGAAGCACCTACTGTACTATATACATATGCATGAAAAACACCACCACTAAGCAATTCATTTAAACTTAATACCATTTTATAAAGCTGGTGCTCATTGCTATACCAGGGTCCTTATTTTTTTCTGGGAACATAAATATATATACAATAGGGTTCTTACCTCTGACGAAATGTTGTATGTAGCTGGAGAGAATAATCTTTGTAAACCTAGTTATGCTTTCCTTGTGGTTATAATAAAGCAATGTATATAAGACTATAGAAACAGTCAAGAATGATGTCAGTTCTCTAAGGAAAGGCAAGGTTTCAGAATGAGGCAGACAGAATTCAAAGAAGAGGAGGATGAAGAATAATGCACACTTAGGGAATGCTGAGGATCTGTTTCCTATAGAGCAGGAAATATTAATTTAGAAGTATTAGTCAAGACCAACCATTTCTTAAATTGAGAGATCACACCCTTCTCAGGTTTTGATTATACAGCCAGCTGTCACTCGTCTAAATGCATGTTACAGGCTTACCTATAAGCAAATACATTTTCAATGTACTGGGACTAGAATTAATGAAGCCAATCTAGAGAACAGTCGCCAAACAAGAAGGAATTTTCTCCATAACATCACTGTATAGCTAACTGACCAGACCACTGTATTAAAGGAAACCCTGTAAAAAATTAACTAGGGAAAACCTTTCCCCCTTTTCTATTTATTCTGATCAGGTAAATGCTATACCCTTTGGTCCCAAACTTTCTAAATGTCGAATTTGTATACTTGCCTCAAACACATGTGTTTTAAGCTTATAATATGAAAATATTTTACATTTTAATATAATATAAGTGTTTTATGAATATATCTGTAGCTAGATTGCCCTTAATTTTCTCAAATATTTGAAGACAAAGTTGCTCCCTAACACAGAATGGTGAATCTACTTGGACCCACTGTTATCAGACTAATGATTCTTGGATTTATCATGGCATTTTCTCTGCATTCTTAATAAGGATCCAAATCATAACTTTGAGTACAATACTTTAGTATTCAGTAATCTTCCCAATGATATTAGACTGAGGTAGTTTAACAAGAAGGATCTGAGCAGTTGTTTTCATTGCTGTACTTTTAAAATGGTTGTGAAAAAGAAATGAGGGGCATGGTCTCTTTTCTGTATACATTCCTACCCTGAATTCTTCATTAGAGGGATGCGTCTGTTGCTAACACGTTTCTCTATCCCTACAGGAGAATGTTGAAGGTGAAGACTGCAGTCGCTGCAAACCTGGCTTCTTCAACTTACAAGAGGAAAATGAGAAGGGCTGTGATGAGTGCTTCTGTTCTGGAGTGTCAAACAGATGTCAGAGTTCCTACTGGACTTATGCCAACGTAAGGACTCTCCTTACACTCTGGTTTCACCCCACAACCTCCTCTGTTGCTGCTGCTCTAGATTTTTTTCAGAAATTGAAAAATGTATATAGTTAGTTTCCACTTAAAATTATACTAGACATACACACACACACATACACACACACACAGAGTACTGGAATTTTCTGCAAATCCTGCTTGTGTATCTTTACACTGGGCCACCTCAGAAGCAGCTGCTGGTCTTGAGAGTGTCCTGTTTGTGAAACTATAGTGGAAATCATGTTACTTTCATTCCTAGAGGGCTTGACATGCTAGAGAGAACATGAGATCCTAATACTAAAATTTATTTTTCCATTCACTAATATGTTTATGTACCAGGTAAGAAAAAAAAACATTTTATAATACGTGTACAAAACACGTTTCCCATTAGCCTTTTGTTACTTTCTGGGCTTTCTGGGTGCTTTCATTTATTGAACACTCTAAATTTGGACAGTACCTTGCTTTTTGGGTGATTTGAAACATTTCAACTTATAACCTCTTCAGTACTGAGACCATCTGTCTTCCTCTAAAACAAATGTGTGTATCTAGCTGCCTCCATTGCCCACCACACCTTCAGTGCCTTTCTGCTGAGCAGTTTGTTCCCCTGTGAAAAATATATGAGAGGAAAATGGGACCTTCAGGAATTTCACATAGCCTCTTCTGCTAGACTTTAGAGTACAGAGCACAGGGAGCAGACTGGAGAAAGAAACCTTTAGAACAAATGAGAAACTATGCTTTTAAGAATAGGGCTGCGGATACACTGCTCTTTTCTACTTGTATTATTAATGGATTGTGAATAGCAAAGACGCATGATGAGAGTTGTGTTTAACAGACTGCTAGTTTGATAAACTATCACCTAAACACTTCTTTCTTCAGCTTTGATCAGCAAACTAATCCAGAACACAACCACTAATTATTTTTCTGCCCATATTGCTTTTAAATCAAGTCTGACATGATTAGTTTCTGACTGTGCTCTCATATCTAAACTTGATTCTCTGTATACCTTATTGAATGTATTGCTTTCAAAGCAGACTTCAAAGGATGAACAACAAATGTAATTCTAAGTCTCTCCTCTTCATTTAGTTTATAGAGTCCTGCTTAGCCTTCCTGACAACTCCACTAAGAAATAGTTTCCAGGCCAGCCAAGGGACAGAGCAGATAGTATATAAGTCTTGGTCTTCAGAACCCAGGTCAACACAGTCCCACTGTCCTAGAATATTGAAGGGTAGCTAAAGTTAGAAAGGAAAGATGAAAGAATTTACTATTACCTAGCTAGCCAATGGCTTTTTATCTGATATGACATTTTCTTTTGACTAAAATAGTTCTAACTTTTGAAAGATTTTTAGAATGAACAAAAATCAAATAATTTCTATATGAAAAAAATTAAGCTGTATTTCAGTCACACATTGTCACCGTTACCACTCTGGTTCCTATTACCTAAAATATAAAGCATGTCTCTGGCAGCGATATCCTGAAGCCTGGTAGTCCCTGTGATGAGTGACCATGGTCATCAACTTGACTAGACTAAGCATGGATAGGAGATAAATGAAGCACTTCTCAAGACATAACCAGAAATGTTTGGATCGTGTAAGCTCTCATCTCATCGATGATGATGGTTTTCTCTATTAATAGATTAAAATGTGAATAGACTATTGAGAGAGAGTTGGTGGTAACTCTAAAGGTGGGGCTTGCTTGGAGGAAGTAGATCAGTGGGATCTGCTTTGGAAGGTCACATCAGTGCCCTGCCTCTTCTTGCCTTCATTCTGTTCACTGGCTGCCATGAGTTCAATGGCTCTCCTCCACCATAATCTCTCTGCAGTGATGAACAAAACTTCTGGAAACTATGAGCAAAATAAATCTTTCCTCCATTAAGATGTTTATGTTAGTTACTTGGCCACAGTGATGCTAAAACAAATACAACCCCTGGTAGCTGGTAGCCTGATGCCTCAGCAACACTGTTTATATTTATTAGACAGGATGGCTTACATTTGAAATGTAGTTGTATGCCTGACCTTGACTGGGGTAGAGCCCTGTAAAGCAACTCATTACTCATCTTTTATTCTTCCTTTAAAGTGACTTCCTTTTCTGGGCCAGGCTATGGGTCCCCAGAGTACTTCTGACCCTATGGGAAAAAAATATTCACTATTGGGAGATGTTGTCATAGCAACAGCCTGGTGGATTCAAATGACCTGAAGCCTCAAAGTAGAAAAAAATTGAAAGTAGGAGGAAAGGAAACACGGAATGAAAAGCTACCTTCTAGGAGTGTGAATGCTTGGTTTCTTTTCTTCCTCTGCTTTACAAACACATTTGCAACACATTTAATAGATTTTGTTTCCCTAATAAGAAATACTGCTGAAGTAAAAAAAAATGGGAAATTCCAAGTCAGTATTCGTAAATCGTGTAACATTATTACCATTGTATAACTTAGACTGATTTCCTCTTTTTTGGCAAGTCAATAAAGTCCTTGCCATACCGGCATGAAAACTTGAGTTTACATTCCTACTATCCACATAAAATTCTGAATTCAATGGCAAACATCTATATAACCCCAAGGGACACAGAGATGGGAGAATCCCTGGGACTTGCTGGCCATCCAGTCTAACTGAATAGTTGAGTTCCAGTTTAGGTGAGAAGCTCTGTCTCAAAAACTAAAGGTAGAAAGCAATTGAGGAAGATACTTGATATCAATCTCTGACCTCCATACATGGACTCAAACATGCATATCCACCTGTATGCACATGTGCACACACACATAACCCCCCCCACACACACAGTACTTTGAATCACAATTTTCAGGAAAATAAACACTGATTCCTATATAGTTCTATCAAGACTTTTAGAAACAGGAAGAAAAACAAGCAATATATTTTATATGAGTACACATAATAAGTTTATTGTACAACTCATCTGTTTTTCTAAGTGTCCGTGTCTGTCTCTCCTAATTTCCACAAATGGCAAGACAAACAGTAACGCAGAGAAAAGAAGCTGATGATTTATTTTGTGTAACCAATATGATTATGTGTTTTCTCTAAGGTTCAAGATATGCACGGCTGGTCTCTCACTGACATCTCTGGCAACATTCGTGTGGCTCCACAGCGTGACAACCAAGAATCACCCCAGCAGATCAGTGTCAGTAACTCTGAGGCCAGGAGATCCCTCCCAGATGGTTACTATTGGAGTGCACCGGCTCCTTATCTGGGAAACAAAGTGAGTCCATTTTGTGTTTTCTTCTCAAAACTCTGTTAACTGCTCAGTCCAGAGACTGATTTTATTTGGCATTTATCTTTTCTTTTAAAAAAGCTGACATACTGTATTAGATTGCCAGAGGCAGCTTAATCATATCAACTTGGACACTGCTCCATATTGCATGGATTGAAGTATGTGTGAAAGACATCAAAGGGCTATGACAGCCTTAGTGTTTGATAGTGGGGTAAGTTTTTAGAATGAGTGGATACATCAATGAAATCTCTAAGGTAAATTTTAAAATATGCTTTAGATGGTAGAGGAAACTGCTGTGATTATTGGAATATAGCTAATGCTTAGAGTGGTCTATGGTGGCATCGTTAATAAAATGTTTCTTATCTATTTCAATTTCATTTCAAAACTGATGTACAAGGCAGCTACATTTCCTTCTACCCAATATGAGTGTTAATTGGAATGTTGATTTGTTACACATTAATTCAGTGCTTGCTATGAGGAGTATGTGTGCTGGATAGCTTTAGTGTCAACTTGACACACCTTGGGTTGAGGGGGCTTCAATTGGGCCCTTCATTGGATTGGCCTGTGGCCATGTCTGTGAGGCATCTTCTTGATTGTTGTGTGATGTGGGAGGGCCCAGCCACTGTGGGTGGTACACCCCTGGGCAGGTGGGCCTGTGTTGAATAAGAAAGCAGGTTGAGCAGGGGCCAGGGGAGTAAGCCAGTAAGCAGACAGAGTTCCTCCATGGCCTGTGCTCCAGCTCCTGCTTCCAGGTTCCTGCCCTGAGTTCCTTCTTTGGGCTCCCTGATGAACTGTGACCTGGGAGATGTAAGCTGAATAAAACCTTTCCTCTGCAAGTTGGTATTGGTCAAAGTATTTTGTCACAGCAATGAAGAGACAAACTAGGACAGTATGCAAACAGCATATATTCTGGAGTTTGGACAGAGAAGTACCCTGAACTTACCAAACTGAAAGCCCATATTGTTTTCCAGCTGATTCATATATAATAAACAAATGTAGCAACATCGCTAGACCGATTCGTCGATGTTTAGAATGTCATTCTTTATTGCTAACTCATTTGTCAGAAACTAAATTTGATTATTTTGTGAATATTTTCATGTAATGTGAAAATTAATACCTTTTCAGATATTAAATTACCTTATTTGCCAGAAGCTGCTGATGGAAAAATGCCTTAGGGAAGTGATGCAGTTTTCAACCTAATTGTCACCTGTAGGGGGTTGGAGAGATGGTTCAGAGTTTAAGAGCACTGGCTGCTGTGACAGAAGACCCAGGTTTGAATCCCAATGCCCAAATGGCAGCTAACAACCATCTGTAATTCCAGTTCCAGGGGATCCTCTTCTGACCTCCACAGGCATTGCAAGGCATAGGTACACTTACATACATGCAGGCATAGCAGTCATACATATAAAATAAATTTAAAAATTTTAAAAAGAATATATTGCTACTGTGAAGAAAGCTTCATTTATTAGATAAATGAAAGCATATCTATAGTTATTGGCTATCTTAAATGAGATGTGAGTATTGAACTAGGAAAACATAGTAGCTCAGAAGCTACTCCATGAATGGAGCTAGTAGTTGCAGCTGATTGAAAAATGTTAGCTCATGGCCAGGTTCTTATTTTTAACTGGTTTCTAAATGCTATTATGAAAAAAGTATAAATGAATAAAGTAGGTTTTCAGTGAACATGCATTTTAAGAGACAGCATATGTTGCATAAAATTCAATAGCTATAATAAAAATCTAATTAAACTTTTATTTGCAAAGCCCTTTACGACAAGAAGTCATTTTATCCTATTCTATTTAGGAACCTCCTATATTCCCATCATGCACAAAATAGCATGTAAGACTTGAATTTCTACTGCTTACCATTGCCAAAAAGTAAAAAAATAAACTGTCATTTCTTCTTTCTGTTTACTGTGGGAAGGAGTTTCAAGAAGAGGCTTCGGTCAAATTCGGATGAGTGTGAGGGATCTTATTTTTTTATATACTACAGTAAATTTTATTTAAAGATAGTTACTAATAGAAATTACCGTATTTTCCAGCATTTCTTTTTGGTCATCTTTCTGTTGGCTGAAAATCAAACTGACAGAAGGCGAGCAAGCAAATGAGTATTAAATAACAGCAGAGCAAAGAATTTGGACATCCTGTTCCTAGTGGTTGGTTCCCAAAGATAACTTCCCTTATCTGACTGAACTGTTTCTTCAAACCACCCACAGTGAAGCTCTTCAGATTCCCCTATGGATATTTTCACATCACAAAGCTGCACTTGCCTGTGCTCCTGTTTCCATTCAGTGAGCAAAATGATGGCAACAGGGTGTGTAAATTGTTTGAATATGGAAGGCATTATTTAATGTAACATGGAAGCTCTCGGTGGTTTACTGTCAACCATCTCAGTATGAATGAAACAATTTGCCTTAATAACTGAACCATATAAATTTTTGATACTACAATAATACTGCCAGCTCTCAGAAATTACCACAGTACATCTTAACTGCCATGTCACATCACGTAAATTATAGTCATGATGACACACTTAGCTTGGTTGATTTAATATCTTGCTAAGGAAATGGAAAATTGCAGGGCCTTGTTTGTAAATTCAATAAAGCCACTTTTCTGAATAGTTGAGGTTAAATTTTTTTTTTTTTTTTTTGCCAGTAATTGCTGTTTGAAACAGAGCCACTGTCAGAATCTGATAGGAGCAATATGTCAAGGTTCTCTGTTTCATCTGCTTAACCATTGAATTTTATTGATATCCATGATATGCAAGCTATTATTGTATGATTTCTTCTCCACATTTTCATTGTTAACTTCTAAGCTGAAAAATTATTTATGAGATGCAAATACCTTTTCCTAAATATATATGTAACTGATTCACTAACATTTTCCTTTCACTGGGTTATAAGGCTGCTTACTATAGAATGGAGAGGTGCCAGGCATAATCTACTGTAATGGAGATACCACAGTTCTTTCCTCCTCTCTTAGCATCCCAAGCCCATGCCTTGCTAACACCTCGAGACACACCTTGCTAACACAAAAATCGGCCTGATTGTAATCAAACTCTGAACTACAAACCGATTGAGTAAAGAGTGCTTTTTTTCCTGCAAAACAATTCTGCTCTGTGAAATAATGAGGGATAAATAAGTCATTCTAAGTGTGTGGAGAGTGGGAATAGCGCAGATCTTAGCCCCTTTTTGTACAAGCAATCAAAAAATTTCCATCATCTCAACTACGTATTATTCTTCAATAGTAATCATGATTTTTTTTCTCCTACCTGAGTGAATATTGGCAGTTTATTTTTATATAATTTTCCTGCCTCCTTCTCAATTGTCAAAGAACATTAAGTCAACTTCCCACTGGGCTGCAGTTGGATGCATTTTATTTTCACAGTGCTCCGCAAATGTTAATGCTTGGTTTCAGGGCATTTGTGTAAGTGTGGAACCAGGCAGAAGAGGAAAGAGCAGAGGACACAGAACCCTGCTGCTCAGCTAAAGGCAGCTGCTATTCAGAAACAGCTTGGGAATTTCAGTTAGGGTAATTTACTGCTTTAGTAAACTAAATGCTACTAGAATACTAAAAAAGTCATTTGCTTAAGGATCCCCTAGTGGACTGAAATGGTCGGTGCAGCTTCCAAAAGCAGTTCTCTACATCTGTAAGATTCTCTGAAAAGCAGGCTTGGCATGTTTGCTTCTGTTCCTACATTGCTGTTAAAGTTTCAGATTCCATCTCTGAACATTATTGAATGGACTTTATGTGATTCTTTTTGACAAAATAATTCTAAGTTTCTGCAACATTATACTGAATTTTGGTGGCTAGCTCAGAGAAATTTGTATTGTTTCCTGTAGCTGCCAGTGACATCTGTTGGCTGGTGTTAAGATCCCCTTAATGAGAACTTTGATATAATAGCGTGAGGCTTCAGAAAGTAATCTCTGGTAAACTCCTTTGTTGTGTTTGCTTGACTTTTGGTTCTACTTCACAGGGCCCAAATTACAGCTTTGTATTTGAAGGAGATTGATGTTTGAGATGTCCAGGACAGGGTAGCTCTTATCACATAAAAAGAGTCTGTGATTGATACAAACAAAGAAGTATCAAAAAATTGTTTTGATGAGGCTGACACACAGGACCTTGGAGTGGGTATTTGTGTGGGAGTGGAAGGTGGGTTTCAGCCTCTTGCGTTTTTCAGAAAAGTTGAAACACTAACGAGAAGGTCTCCTCTCTTCTTTCATAATTTGTACTTGTGGCTTCTTTGCTCCACATTTCTCAAAACTGTTCAAAAGAGAAGTTTAAATTGGGCATGGTGCATGCACTTGAAATCTAGCATGTGGATGTCAGGGGGGTACTGGGAGTTGGCAGTTAGCCTTGGTGACATAGGTCAACGTGGACTAGAGTGAGGCCTTGTCTCAACAAAGCAAAAAACTAAACAATCAGAAAGTGCATTTTGAAATTCTTTTCTCCATCCGCAACTCCCTCTAATGTAAACTTTGGATTCAATTTTATTTATTAATAATGATCACCAGGAGTGTGAAGAAAGGCTTGGTCCAAAAAGTAAAAAGGCAAATCAAATGTGATTGATTTCCTTTATTTCATAAATCAAGTTCTATCAAAAATGATTTAGAAATGGAATAGAGCCAAGGAAATATTTTCTGCCTGGACCAACCCAACCTGATTGTTAATGATAAATGAGGAAATTCATGTAAAAATATAAAAATGACCAAGGAATCCTTCATGGCTGTACTTAAGGTGGGTTTGAAGTCACATAGAGCAGACACCCAGGCTTATATGTCTTTGTCACTGTTATGTTGATATTTTCCTCAACTATATTTAAGGAGTAATAATTCTCATTATTGTTACATTATATTATAATCATCATGATTATGTAAAAGAGAACTTTAATATTCATATGAATTTTGTTTCCATTGTATAATGAAATGTAATAGGCATAAAGATCATTTTTTGTAATCGATCAACTGAACAAATACTAGATAGGGGAAC